AAAAAAAAAAAAAAAAAAGAAAAATTTAAAGGGTCAACGTACGCTCTACAAATACAATAGAGGAAATTGCACCCTACACGATGCATACAATCTTTTATTACATAAATAATGCCTCTTTATAAATATTAGCATATTGACTAAATCTATAGATTTTATTTGCAAAAATACCTAAATCAAAATTGTGCGTGATTAATGGTAAATCTTATCACCTTCCAAGTAATCCTCTCCCACTCTCTTCCACCATGGAAATCGATCTCATCTTTCCCAAGCAGCATTTTTTTTTTTTTTTTTTTTTTTTTTTTTTTTATCTTTAAACCAACTGCTACCATAAATCAGCAAATCGCCACCATAACCGCTACCAAGTAATGACTAAATCTCATCTTTATTTGGTTGGGAATTTTCTGAACTCTGCAAATCGCCACCATAAATCAGCCCCAAGCATCCGGCGGCGAGCCACCATCAACGATCAAAACTCCAATTTCACGGCAACCACGTTGTCCGACCACAAGCAGTAAGCCGTGACCTTGAGCCACCATATTTCCGACGAGCGCCGCGACCGGAGAACCACTACTTGTCGGCTGAAGATGTGGTGGTGGCGGGTGGCGGTTGAGAAGGTCATGACCGGGTAAGAGTCGGATCCCAACTTTAGTCCTTACTAGCAAAACATGGTGGGTAACGACGGCGGATCGAAGATTTCAACGTTGAGTCGCCGCCTTAGGACAACTCCAATTTTATTAGAGATTTTTAGTTTGATTTTATTGTGTTGTGGGATATGTTTGTGTATATATGCAGTATATATTGTTGTAAGCACATGTGTTTTCTGTATATTATCTGTATATATTCTGTATGTAATGACAAAATTAATTTATCTAATGTATATTTGTTGTGTATTTTATCTATCTCGTCTGTATATAATGTGTATATTTTCTGTATATAAGTCTGATCGTGTATTTTAAATAATGTCATCGAACAACTTCCTATTTTTTAGGTAGTATATAACACGATTATGTTATGTATATGTGCACAAAATATATACTGAGATGTTTTCAAGACTGTGATGTTTACATCTTGTATATATTCTAATAAAATGCCACTAATTTTTTAAATATCAACGAAACAGAACATATACGTTTCATATACGGTATCAAAACAATGCGTTACAAAAAATAAACAAAATATAGGTCGACAAGTAAAAAATTACGTGTTTTTTCAGCTTTAGTTAATCTATATCTTAGTAAAAAAAACAGTTCATCAAAAAGAAAAAATTATAATAGATTCATTATGTTTCTGTTTTTTAATGAACAACCTCCTATTTTGTAGGTTATATTGACTTACCATTTATATATATATATATATATATTTATATATGTTCACAGAAATTGATAAATCCAAGTCTAGCGCAAATCAAGGATGTGCAGTTCAGTTTTGGTAACTGAAAGTCGTGGCACTTGTACAATTAAATGACATTTATTTGGCGAGAATGCAAAAAGATTATTTAACTTCGTAGGTTTACAAATATTTTACTTTCATACAGTATAAATATAAATTCCCCAATACAATATGCTCGCTAAATCGTACTGGTCGCCGCGCCAGTTCTTTCACGGGCCTATTGATGGTGTTAGACAAGTGGGCCATGTGCAATCCGGCCTGATTTAGTATTTAATTTCACAAATTGCCTATTTTTTATTTATACAAATTTAATGTTAAGAAAATCATGCCACTAGCTTGTAGCGTATTTAATGACTATTATATAGCATTAATATTATCTCATTGATCTTATTATACACAGATTTAGCAAAATAAGAGAATCCACAAATAAATCAACTAATTTTCACTTTCTGAAAAATAGTTTTTAGTCTCATCTGTTCATCAACAAGCTAATTAAGATAAATTTGATTGCAAAAAGAATTTAAATAGTAATAAATATTTTTGTATCAAATAATTAATTTTCGTGTACATTAGTTTTGCTTCCATATGTATCGTTATAGATCCAATGAAAGATTGTAATGTGCCCGAGCCTCTATAATGCATTGGGTCTAGTCTTGTCAATGTGACATGTAAATAAATTCAAGTCTTGAATGACATGGATAAAACAATGTGAAATTAATAAAATTTTCACTCCAATACAAAGAGACTAGGTCACTACTTGGTCTAAAATGGACTTAAGGATAGACTGAGTCTCTTTTTTTGGTTGCCACATTAGCAGGATTCAGTCTACTTTTATTTAGATAATAGAAAAGGGGTTGGCTTTGTGCATAAAAAGTTAGATATGTTTCTTGTGTACCCTGTATGGACTCTTAAATTTCTTAATGCCTAAGTTAAACATTATTATGTATTTGGAATAAATGACACCCGTTGTCCATTTGTTAAGACAGTTTATATAATCACTCCCTCTTTTTATTTAGACAAAGTTACTCCTTTTTATTTTCAATTATACTTTCTTTGACGGTTTGTATTTTTAATTTATTTTAATTTTTGTAGCCAACACATCTTTTGATATTATCCTGTTTTTTTTCTCTTTCTCTTTCTTCTTTCTCTTGGTTGAGTTTTTCTTGTTCCTCTCTCTCTCTCTCTCTCTCTCTCTCTCTCTCTCTCTCTCTCTTTTCTTCTCACCTTTTCGCCTGGTCGTCATCCCGGTAAATTTTCCTCTAATTTCGCCTAAATTGTTTTCTTCATGATTTCGATTTACCATAGTCTATTTGTGTATTTTTGTGGCTTAATTTCTCAAATTTTAGGATTCATATAAGTAATTTTTTTTTAATTGGCAAAATTTGTCGCAGGCCGATGATTTGAAAATTTTGGAGTGGTTGCCTCAATTCGTCGACGACGACTCCACGGCGGGTCTCTCCTTGTTATGCCCATTCAAAATTTTACTGCCCAAAAGAGCCGAACACGTGAATCATCTGGTCCATAAGATTAGCGTCCCGTTATTTCCCTCTTGAGAAAACCAAGAATCTAGCTCCAGATGAGGCGCGTGCGCAGTGACCGTACTGGGTGTGGGGGTTTGATTAATTGAGGTTCTGGAGGCGGACCGATTCAGCTGAGTAGGAAAACCGTTGATCAAACGCATAAGGCAGGCGCCAACAGATGTTTAATGTTGGTGATTGCCGATCTAAAATTGACAAGTTGAGACAGTTTAGGTGGTGTTCGATTAGATTGAAAATTATTTTTATGTTTATTTGACAATTTCGTAATATATATATATATATATATATATATATATATATATATATATGGTAATTGAGAGTTGTTTTTATGTTTCTTGATAATTTTTAAGTTGTTGTTTTATTGTTACTTCATTGATTTTTTTTGTCCGTGTTAATGAATCAAAATAAGATTACTGTTAATGATTTCTGCAAATCAAAAAAAAAAACTCTGCTATTTATTTAATAACTAATTTGTGTATTGACTAATTTGGAATATAAATGAGTTGTTGTTTTGTTTTTATTAATTTTTAATAAAGAAAAATTTACAATTTACAATCATAGTTGGCACCCTTTAATGCTTTCTAATCTTATGTATATTAGATTCCAATTTTCATAATTTTTTGGATGGTTTTCATTGTTGCTGGGAGCATGTTTCTTCTTGATTCAATTTATATTGTTTTTTGATTTTTTTTCCTTAGGTATTTATGTTTGGAGGAGAAGAATAAGAAGAAATATTTGGAGAAGAGAAAAAGAAGAAACCGGAAGAGATAAAATGATGTGGGGAAAAGAGATTGAAAAGAGAGAAGAGAAATCAAGAGAATGAAAAAAAAAAAGACGGGAGAGAGAAAGTATCTTTTATTCTGCCGATGCGTGATGCTTTCATTTCTTTTTTCTTCGATTTTGTATCTGAACAATTTTGGGAAAGTATCTTTTTCATATGATTGATGCTTTTTTTTGGGTTCAATGAACTTTGCTTTTTTTCAATCGGTAGTTTTGTTTGTAATTTATTAACTGTCATATAGTTTCTTCTTGTTTTCAAATTCAAATTATATCTTTTCAATTTTCGTTCAAAACGTTTCAATTTTGTTTTTTTATTTAATTATTTTATTGTACTTTTATTTTTCCCGTGAGTGGGTTGTTCATGTCTACCTTTTGGAGTAATTTAGGAAGTGTGTATAGGCAAAGGCAGTTTTGCAAAATCTGTTTAATTAATGGGCAGTTATAAATTTTTCCCTAATATCTTATGCCACAGAGTGGGTAAATTTGTTTGATCATAATGGACTTGGCCCATAGGGAAGTTCCACCTAACCACAATAAGTAGTAGATTTATAAAGAGGAATTTGCACTCCTTACCATCATCTATAATTTTTATTACACTTATATACCCCTTATATTCTTATTTATAAAATTACCTAATAAAGTCAAAATATTTTCAATTTTACCTGATATTTAGAATAACCGTTATTCCCTTTCTTTTGACAAATTAAATGCTAATTAAATGGGACAAACCCACAACCCACATCCTCTCTCCCTCTCTCTCTCCAAAACCCCATCTCCAGATTTTTTTTCTTATACGCCAACCGCCGCCTCAAGCCAGCCCCATCCCCTTGAGTCGTCGCATCCGCCTTCGCCTCCGCCTCCGCCTCCGTCTGGCTCAAGCAACGTCGCCCCGCGGACGAGAACGTCCGCCGATCATCTTCCACCACGTTAATTTACCTCAACAATCGAGTTTTTTTGTTTTTTTTTTCGATTAATGATGGGGTTTTGAGGTAATTTACCTCAGAAATTGAAGATGGTGAATTTTCTGTGTCTCGTCTATTTGGTAGTGAAATAAGTGCTATGATCAACCTACAAAGATGGAGGAATAGGGTTCATGTGAATTTTCAGCCATGGAATTTGACGAGCGAGACATAGATAAAGAATCATGTCTGTTGATCAAGTGGTCTTAGATGAAGTTTCTGCAGCATCAACCACGATTAACGAAGTTAAAATAAATTATGGTAGCTTGAGTTTAAAGGAAACAGGTCTGCAACCAATTCGTTCTTCTGTATCTCTAGATAAACAATTTCATTTAAAAAGTCTGGTATAAAAATTGTTTTCTCTTCTTACTTTTTTGGCATTATTTTCAGTCTTTGTGTAGGGTTTATACTTTTGGATGTTGAATGGTACTGGGATTTTGAGTGTTTTTTTCTTTTTTTAAAAAAAAAACCACACCCCCAATCAGTATATGTTGAGTATATAAACATTATATTTTCAGTTTTTAGACATTTTTACGTCTGGACTATTTACATTTTGTGTATATGTTGTATGTATATGGAGTATATATATAGTATATATTTTTTTTGTATAAGGAATACAAGTAATCTTTAATAATATTTTTTTTCATTGCAACATATACTGAATATATACTAACATAAACGCAATATATACCGGCTGCGTGAATTACAAAATTCAAGTTATGCACATATATTGAATATATACTAACATAAATTCAATATATACCACATGAGAAACATAAACGCAATATATACGGCTGCGTAAATTACAGAATTCCAGTTGTCACATATACTTAATATATACTAACATAAACCGAATATATACCACCTGAGAGCTCTATTAAATAACCTGCGTGAATTAACTCTATATATAGTGTGCTTGATTTGTTGATAAATAGTTCTATTATGTACATGTTGCGGGTATATGTTGGGGGTATATATAGTATATTTTCGGTATATGTATGAAAAAAATTGTATATTTCGGGTATGAAAATTTACACGTTGCGGGTATATGTTGCGGGTATATACCAAAGTTGCACAACACACATATACATAAAGTATACGTACAATATGCATAAAATACACAATCGAGATTCACGTAATTCAAGTCCACGATACCAAATATACATAAAATATACTTTAAATATACACTCGAGTTTCAATCGTTTCTCAAAATTGATTTCAAAACATATACATAAAATATACTTAAGATATACACTTGAGATATTTATCACGAGCAGATCGTTTCTCACGGGCAGAACTCATATATACATAAAATATATCTAAGATATATACCTAAAATATACCTCAAATATACCCATTTTTTTCGTTTTGATTCAAATTTGATCGTTTTTCACGTTACTCGCGAAAGAAAAATTTATCGCGAGATTTTTCCCATAATATCTGCGCGATTTTTGTGGGTTATTGATTCCATAATATCTACAAGATTTTTTCCTTTTTTTTTTTT